CCTCATGCGGCTTGTTTAACGATTGAAGTGTTCTCGTAACATAAGTTCAACACGATTTACATATAAGTGACAGATTTTCCATCATGCCCATTTTCCACCACTTTAAAAATTCTCCGCTAGTGCTCATTTTGGCAAACTGTATGAGGAATACTATTAAACGTAGATTTTAACTAAAAGTTGATAAATAAAAGACGATGATAGCTTTTTTTATCTAACATAGTAGCTAATATTTGTTCATATACCTATGGTACATGCTTTTACAAGTCAGTTTTTATACTTCCATTTACCCGTTTACCTTATCAGCTTCAATTTGTGTCTGTGGTGTTGTCTGCAGCTTCCGCAGTTCGAAGTTTAATTAATTCCAACGTGTTCGTTTATATGAACTCATCAGATTTCTTAGCTTTTCGTTAAACAATTGAGCAAATCAGAATCAGTTGAAATACTCATTCGTTTTTGTTTTTTAACTCGAAGTTGACATTGAAGAATGTTGTTTACAACCGCCAAGGTTGAAGGCAAACATTCAACAAGTCTTTGTAGAATATTCTGCGAAGATTGYCTTCCTATTATTATTTTCCTTTTCATTAGAATCTGAATTTGCAGCTATCAGAGCAGTAAAAGATATTCAAAAGTCCTATAAGGTTCTAWAAATACCGAGAAGACCAATAAAGAACTTCCTACTGACTAATTTCATTCCTATATGAAATTGAAGAAGGGAAAAAATGAGGAAAATTGGTTGAGTTAACATTAAACGAGCTACTGAGCACATCCTATACCTGCAAAGAGCGTCCTATTTCAAGCGCTCAGTAGAGAAGCGACTAAAAAATTATTATGAAAAACGTTTTGAGGACTTAAAGTAGRATTGTCAAAGGAAGGGGACAACAACAACTTCAAAGAAAGGTTCCCAAATAATAGTCGTACATGGGGATCGCTAGCAAGATTGGTTTAAAGTTACAGCGAACCGGCCTTCCCAAATGTGTGGGCTGTACACAAATGCCCTTTATAGACCGCACATTAGATTTCTAAATAAATCTGTAGATCATGCAATGTTTCTTTGGTTTTTATAGAAAAACAAGGATTTCATTATATACAAGTTTTTATTTGATAATTTTTCACATTCCTCTCTGCTTCACATTTGTTACTTTAATCAAATAATAACCACATTAAAACCTTCTGACTGGGTATTTTGGTTTCGGAACAACACCGGGTATATATTCGGGCTTATTGTATTTAATGTGACCCAATGGCGCGTCAAAATTAAATTGATCTGATTCTTCGTCTTCAAAGGGGGGATGCAAAGCCGGCTCTTTTGCAATCATTAAACCCACAGGTGGTCCCGGTGGTCCTAGTGGTTTCAGTGGCCTCTGCGGTTCCTGTGGCCGCATTRSTTCCAGTGACTCACTATTATCGTATACGCTGAGGTCGATCGTTACTGCATCAGCAACAAAGGCCAAAACGAGAAAATAAAAGAAAGTTGCGAACTTCATGTTTGCACCGTATAACAAGCTCACTCACAAACTATACAACGCAACGGATATGTGTAGGCTTTTTATAGAAGTCGTAGGAAAATGTGGCAAACATACTTACTATATGAGTATATGTGTACCAAACACACAGTCTCTATCGAAAATTTCGTCAGCATCTATAACGATTTGACAATTAATCAGCGGAGTTGAATGTTCTTTGCGAATTATCAGTTGCTTGCGAGCAAGTTGACAAGATTGAGTCATTGGCAACAAATATTGTGACATTCATACATTTGTTTTCACACATTTGTTTTCGTTTGAAAGACGATTAGATAAGTGAACGTMAAATCTGCGAAGATTTTTCCAGATTTCCGTTTGAGCAACCTTGTAGAAATTCGTGATTTTTTTTTACTATTTCTAGAACAATGCGACAGTGTTTAATCAGTGCATAAATCATAATTGAAATAGAGATACGTTACTACGGTAAAACTTACCCTGAATCCGCATAACCAGCGGTTGCCAGTAGATAAAAAAATAAGTTCCGTTTACACCGTTCTCTAGCAGTAAAATTCATCGTCAGCTCGAAGCTTCTGTCAATCATCTAGAAAAGGCGTAAGCGTCAGTAAGTAAAGGATGGTACATTTCAAGGATACTTTTTTTAATAAAAAAAAAACACAAAAACTCAAATTTAATGGGGAATGTTTATTATCATTCAAAAGAACATTCTTTGGTATTTATTTTTTTGAAGATTATCTCTTCCAAATRGCGGCAGCGGCTATGTCTCAGATGGTCCWTCCGTYGAGTTCAATTTTCGAAGACTCGTTCGAGCATTTTGACAGGTAACTGGCGAATGACTCGCGAGATGTTTTGTCCCAAGGCCTTTTCATATCCCTACAGAAAAAATACTAAATGTGTGATATCACACAATCTTGGTGTCTAATCGACCATCCCAAAACGTAAAATTATCTGCTCACCGAAGTATTTTCTCAATAAATCCATTCGTTGACGAGCTGCGTGGGAAGTGCCGCCGGCTTGTCGAAACCAAATGTCGCCGAGATCACGAGCTTCCGTTTCAGGCATTACATGATCGGTTATCATGCCGCGGTAATGGTCGCCWTTGACGGTTACGTTTTCATCATCATCATTTTTGAGAAAATATGGAACGATGATTTCACCGGCTTCAAATGGCAACTATTGAATCTTTTCTTCTTTTTTTTCTTTCTCTTCATCCCAAATGCGGTAATTTTGTAACGACTTAAAATGCGTCAAGTCGTTCTTTACGTCAGACCAAATTACTACGAACGGCGCCGAATTGACTCTCCACGATTTTCGTGTACCCTCTCAGCTACGGTTGCTATATTTTCTTCACGACATTTGAAAGGTTTACAAAAAATCCTAAATGGAATGATCAGATATTAATGAGCTTTCCAAAAAGGTATAGCATAACCCGATGCGACGAATAAAACTAGAACCGTTCCCACGACAGTCGGGTCTACGAAAACCGGAACGGATCCGGATTTTTATCCGGCCAAGSACTGTCAACTCGGCAGAATTCTGCCGTTACAACAACAACAACAATAAAACTAGAACTACGCGCCCTCAGCGCTAACTAGCGAAAATTCCGCAAGACTTTTTTGACAACCTAATATATAATATATAGTTTTTTAACGGTTTCTTATGAAAAACATCTACAATAGTATTATTCAAAAAAAAGCAATAAAATTTCCCATCTTTCTGGCAACTTCTGGATTCGATCGCAAAATAACGGTACTTGCTTGACGTTCAAAAATTAACCAAGCGAACCAATTCCAGTTAGACTGTTCTGCATCCAACATTGCAAGCTTGAGTCTCAGTTATACGATAAAAGGTAGGACAAAACGCCGCAGCCGCTGTTTCCCAAATAATTTTCAACCGGTCCAACGTGAGGCCGAGTGTTGCCATGATGGAATATTATAATTATTATAAAAAGCGAATTTTCCAGAAATTTTTCTGAGAAAACTTTTAAATTTATTGATCCAAAAATTTGTACACATTATCTTTTAGCTGTATTTTAAGACTTGGTATTAGTAAAACCATATATTTGAAAAGGAACTAGAGCTGATCTCCGGGAACTGTGGGAACTTTTTGCGGTGATCTCTATATCTGTGAACAGAATCCTCTAAACTTAAAGAATCAAAGTAATGTTAAGACTAGTAAAGTAAATCGAAGGAATAAGCAAAATAATTTTTTTTTACATAATGGCTGTTTCTAAAAAAAATCGATTTTTGACCAAAATCTCGGACTTTAATTGCTTATAAAAAAATATTTATCGGTGAGGAAAAATCTTCGCTTAATTGCTAAAAAATATATTTAATAAGCTTGTATTAAAATTTGAGACAAATCGGTTTAGACGTTTTCGAGTAATGTTAATCACCAACTTTGAAAAGACTATTTTGAGAAAACCGTGTTTAAAGTTTAACCTTGTACTTTCAAGCGCTCTGAAAAGCCTTTACAAAAAAAATCGATTTTTTGAAAATTCTAACGTTATATAACCCCTTAACGTTTCATTACTTCAGTTCATAAGGCCACCAATTTCTTGCTCTTGAATGTATCTGACTGGTTTTGAAATGGCTGCTGGAGTGACTCCTAAAAGTGCTGCAGCAATTCGAGTTTCTAACAATATTCAAGCAATAATGCCTCCAGTTCCTCGCCTTCGAACTTTTTTGATATTAAAGTTATTGTACTTCTTCTTCCACCGAAATGAGATGACTTTCTGCTGCGACTGTCTTCATATTAAAGGGGTCTTCTAGTCTAGAATTTTGAAAAAAAAAATCGATTTTTTTTTGCATATTTTGAAAGTTTAGACTTTCAAAAATATGACCTTCTAAGGATTTTTCAAAATTCGACTTATTTTCGGAGATGCAGCCGATTTTGTGATGTGGCGTCCGTGTCCACTAGAATTGTCTCCTAAACTTTAAACGCGTTTTTCTCGAAACTACCTTTGTTGAGGTGATTGACATGATATCTCAAGTTCTACTGAACCGATTCTTTTGAAATTTGGTATACATATATCTTCTTTATACAATGCTCTAACGTGTCTGTCTTGGATTTCCAAAAAATTTTATTTGAAGTATTTTTAAAAAATTCGAAAATGTTTTTTGTAGCCCCCACTCGACGGCCCGTATCTAGACGAATTTTGTTTTTTTTTTTTTCTTGAATTTTTTTTATATCATTAAAATGTCAATAAAAAACATATAAAAAAATGGATAGTAAAAATGTTTTTCATTTTTTTTTTTATCTTAGTTTAAAAAATGCCAAAAATTCTTGCGTCTAGACCAGAATACCCCCTTAATGTAATCAATAACTCCGCGAAAAAACATAAATCATCTACAAATATTTTTTTTAATATTTTTAAAATGCATTTACTTAATAATTTTTATTGGCTAAACCGTTATATTACATAATAAACGATAATGTTGGTTAAACGTAAAATTTAATTATTACTCAAGCGCATGCTTTTATAATTTTATAAAAATAGATCATGACTAAATATATGCATACAATGTATAAGGAAAGTGTAGAAAATATAAAAATTATGCTAGCTAGCCAATGAATGTGTATGTGTAAGTGGCTGTGTGTAATTTAGTAATGCTTAACGCCTCTTCGACCTCAAATTCGGCGCCGGTAAACTGCTGGCGGGCRCGCGTAAACGCGTCGGACGCGCCAGCTCCATCGGCACTGGATTGCCCTTGGTGCGCTGCGCCAGGTTGATGCGTGTCGCTTTGGTGGTGAGCGCGCGCTTGCGCAWTAGAACGGCGCCCAAAGTTCTCATAGCTTCTTCTGTGCTGGAACTGCCACTACCGCTGCTCGAGTTGGACTCGACCGCTTTCGGTGCCAGTACCAGCGACGAGGCGACTTGATGAGCGGCATGACGTGTCTTCATAACGTTGCTTTTTGAAGCGCGTACTGGTATCTTACTGCGTTGTTGCTGTGCTTTACTTGCAGCCGTTGTTGGCGCGTCCTTACCTGAATCAGCGSCGCTTTTGTCGCGCAATGAACGCCTACGCTGCGGAACTTTACTAGCGGCTTCATTCTCACTAGTGTCGCCGGCATCGYCCAATTGACCGGCACTTATCGATATGCGACGAAGCATCAACATGCCGCTGCCGCCACTTTTATTATTGTCGCTTTTGCGCCGTTTTTCCTTCGGCGCGCTGTCGTGCTCATCGTCGGCACTTGAGGAATYGGCGTGCTTTTTTGAAACAGCCGCCGCGTCTGTTACCGCGCTCGTTACGGTAGCAATATCGGTAATCACTTCAGCGCACGGCGCACTTTCGTCGGACTTATCCTCAGCAACACGCGTTTTGGATTTTATGGTTTCGATAGCCTCCRCGCGCGTTGCGGACGATGTACGCGTTATAGATTTATCACCAGCTTCTGCGCCATTATTAAGGCTCGATCGCGTAGCCGCTCGTGTACGAAGCGCGGCGGCATGGGYGCGTGTTAASGAAGCGGCACGTGTAGCGGATCGTGTGCGCGTAACGGAGTCGGTGTTTCTAGGCAAATTCATCAAATCACTTGAGTTGCTCGGTTTCGCGCCAGCGAACCGTCTCGTCGCTTCAGCCTTTTTCTCCGTCTTGGTTAATGAAAGCGAAATCGAACGCTGTCGCCCTTTTCTGCGTGTTTGTCGGACCACTTTGGTGCTGCTTTCTTTTGTTGTAATTTCTTCGATTGGCTCGCTMGGCGGYAACGAAGTGTTGCCTCTGCGCGACCGTGTCYGTTGCTTAGCTGGCGTGCCAGCACGAAGACRCTTTAAAAGCGGCGGTTCCGAACGAGGTGAAGTAGATATTTCTTTGGCAGAAGTGGCGCCAGTGAGCTTGGGTGTGGAGCAGAAGGTTCGCTTTAGGCTAGCGCGTGCTGGCGTAGCGGCTTTGGTGGAGCTGATGGCAGTGATGCTGGTGCTTGCATTGTCAGCTCGGTCTCCAGCCTCGTCTTCCGCAGTTTCGGAGTCCTAAAATTTTTTATTGCTTTATTAATCAATTTTAGTTGCTTTTTTTTTATTAAAGAGAAAAAAAATATTTTTGTATTTCAACACATGCGTGGTTAATATGGGATTCAAAACGGTATTTCAAGATGAAATTCTTATTAATTTATTACTAATTATTTCATAAGAGCAAATGTCTAAGCTTCTAAGAAATGTGAATTTTTAAGACTAAAGCGCAAAACAGTTATATTTTGAGAAACACACCACACTGCGCCAACACGCTCCATCACAAGCGGGCGCAAGCGTCCCACTCACACCGCCACGCCACGCCACGCCACACGCACACCCATTTCCGCATACAAATCATTTCAATTGGTGAATTGGTGAATTCAACATACGTAAATATATATTTTTATATTAGACAATGTTTGTACAGTTTTGTAATGGGGAAAAAGTAAATAAAACTACAAGCTAAGTGCCTAAATAGACGTGCATTAAATGGGCGGTGGCGTTGGTTGACACTGGTGGAAGCGGTTTGTAGTTGTTTGGTGTGGCGTTTGGTTAGTAACGGTGCTGAGCTAACTACAGTTGTAATCCTCGTCGTCTGGTACTCACTTGATTTGGCGCCGATTGCGCCGATTGGCTTCGTGTTGCACGACGTTGTGTGTCCGTTAGATTTGCCACGGATATATCGCCACCACCGGCGCGTCGTTGACGACGTACGATTGTGCGCGGTGACAGCGCCGCCGGCGGTGAAGCAGGTACGACCTCGGATGTATTGAGCTGCGTTGCGGAAAAAAACGAGAATGAAGATGAATGAATACCGTTATAAGTGTGATTTGTTACCTCTTCAGCGTCGTTGGTTTTGGCGGCGCTTCTGGTGGCGCCACGCGACTGCAGCCTTGTTGGCAGCGCCGACGGCGTTCGCTCCTTTTCCTGTTCTCTTGCGCGCGTACGCACTTGCTCCTTTGGCTGCGCCTTAGACTGCTCTGGGTTCGCATCTTTTGCTTTCTCTGCTTTATCCGTTTTCGTCGCTGACTGCTCCACGGCGTGCTGTTTACTGCTCTCCTTTGTCTGCCGCTTAGCTGGACTTGAGGTGTTGCGCGTCGTTGTGGCATGGTTCTGAGCGTCCGCATTGCTGTTGGTTTTTGAATTTGAATCGGTGTCGTCGTCTACAACAAGTGTGGGAAGGTTTGCACGTCGTTTATTACGCACTTTTGTCGCATCCTTGGCGGTTTCAACGACTGCCTCCTGCGCCTCGGTATTCTTCTCGGCATAACGTAGGTTTCGTCTAACCCGCGTATTGCGCACCTGGTGCTCTTCACGTGCTGGTTGTTGCTCCGATTTCTTATCGGAATCTATGCGTGCCTCAATGCGTATCTTCGGTGAGCGTGGCGGTCCATCGCCCGCTTCGCTGTCCGATTGGCCGCGTGTTGAGTTCAACGATTTGCGCAGATAACGATGGCCCACGCGATTCTCGCGTCCATATGTGGTCGGCACACGCGCCGAAGGTGAGATATCTTTCGTTATTATGCTGCCATCGTTGGTTGCTTGCTGGGCGACTGTGGGCGCTTCCGACGCAGCGGTGGGCATTTCTTCGCTAGAAGTAACGGCCTCTGGCACAGCCTCGGCAGCCGCAGCAACAGCATTAACGTCCGCCGTTAGGTTGGCGGCACTTTCGTTGCCGTCAGGTGGCGGTTGTCGCATTGGCTCATCGATCTTTTCGCTCACCGCCGTTTTGCCGCGTGCAGTATTTGAGCCTGCTGTGTCGTTGTCATTAGTCGCGTCATTCTCCGTTTCATCGTTGCTGTCCTAGTTGTGCACAGAGCATTATTTACCGTTAATGAACAGTTTTGAAAGAACAATAGAGTTTTTGTTTACCTCTTCGCCCTCAGAATCAATTGCAGCAGACTTGCGTGTTGGATTATAAGTGCCATCAACCAGGTCTTTGAAGTCTATGATAAGCTTGACACTTCGCGGATCAAGATCAGCCTAAAGGAAGTGGAGTATTTTAATTTTGCATTAAAGATATTTTCGCATTTTATTTCACATTCACTCATTACCTTTATCAACTTATCGGCGGTTTCTTTCAATTCGCGCTTGAGCTGCTCATTCTGCGTGACACTCAACTCGAGAGTGATCAGTTCTTTGGCCAAGAGTTTGCACAAGTCCTTATTAGTCAAATTATTCAGCATCTCCTGTAGGATGGTCTGTGCGATTTTATTGTGTATCCAGCCGTCGGTTATGGGCGAACTCTCCTGTCGTGTGGAGTCTATGATGAAGCGCGTTATGGTTTCGGGCCGTATTTCGTGCAGTGGATTCTCATAAGGCGCACTCAGCACGGTTGTCAACATGGGCAGCAGGCAAGGTTGTAGCAGACCGTGCCGTTTGCACTGTATGAGATTTTCCAGAAAAACGCCCAAAATTTGGTTAATATTTGCATCTATGGAGATAGGGAAAAGTTAAAAATTGTATTCCATATATATATATATATATATATATATATATATATTGTACCTGTGCTGGGATTAAAATAACGCAGCAGCAGTTTCTCAATGATATCGCTGGACTTGATGTAGCCGCGCAATATGAGGCGGCAGAAGCCAACAATGATGGCGCTAACGATGCAAGTGTCATCGCATGTGTCGAGAAAATGTGACATCATGTAGATGACGTCCACACCCTGACCGGCGTTTAGCACATTGGAATCATCTTCGGTATCCAAAAATTCCAAGGTGTTGTAAAGCTGGCGGCCGCTTTTCTTCGTTTTGTTTTGCGACTCTTGTTTAGCAAAATTATCCAAACCGTATCTGCGTAAGCAATMAATAATGAATTTAATATAGTTGAGCGAATTATAATGGCACAAGCGACAAAACTACCTGTCCAGCAGCTCAAAAATGCACGTTATCGAGGTCTCCCATATACGTATATTGTGATTTTTGAAAAATTGTGAATACAACTCTTCGAATACATCCTTAGCCAACACCTCATACAGCATACTGCAGGCAGTACCGCATTTCAGCGCCCAATCACGTATGGCTATTTGATTCGAGGCAAGATGGCGACATATAAAATCCTGTCAATGTGAAATTATTTTAAAATTTCAGCTGCCACAACAATAACAATTTTCAAGCACTTACATTATACAGTTTCAAAATGCTCGGATTAAGCGAACGTACTTTRGGCGAAACTACCATGTGGAAGGCAATTTGCAAGCTTTTCAATATGCACTCGGGTTTCAATATTTTACGCAACTGTAACGGGCGCTTTAACTGTAAATAATGCGTAAGAGTAATTTATTAATTTGCACAGGCACTAAAACATKGTGGGGACCTACCGCATCAGCATTGGGATGATTCTCCAGTAGCGGTTGCAGTAAATTTGTATACTCTTCGGTAGCGGCGAGCTTCTCTTCTGTTGTTTGTTGCGCACGCATATAATCTTTTTGCTTTACAAAATCCATTTCTTGTTCTTCCAAATCCAGAATTTTCACTTTCAGTGACGATAATTTCAAATTTAAATCGGCATTCGAAGAGGTCGCTAATAATTCGGTAATTAACGTGCGATCATGCAATAGATCATTCTGCCTATTATTCAAACCGCATATATCTTGTACAATTTCCACAATAAACTAGAAAAGATGAATTTTAATTTTATTTGACAAAAAMAAATTTTAATAGACAAAATTTTATAGGTTATGCTCACTTGTATACGCGCATTTTGATCAGTTATTAGATTTTCCGTGCARCGCACTATCATTTCTATCACTTTCTCATCCAGACGGAATGTTTTCAACAGATATGCCAGCAGTTTTTGCAGATTACCACGACCGATCTCGTCACCCAAATCGAATGTGTACAGCATTTCAGTGAGTGACAGTAGCTTGTATTGAAATTCCATGAGTTCGAATTTGTCCATATCCGGTTTCTGTTGGTGGCAGAATCTGGGAAAATTAAAAAATTATATAAATCTATAATTTAATATACTGTCGAAAATTTCAACTCACTTCTCCACATATGTACAGAATGTGCTCAATTCGGGCACTATTAAATCGTGCTCCTCTGCCAATTCCGCTTGCAAAAACTCGGTCAAGCATTGCCAGTATAATGCAATTTCCATTGACAGCTTTTCGTATGGCACCAAACGATGCATTTCGCCGTCTTCATCTAATGGCACACAAGCAATCAAGTCGTCCTTTTTCTGACGCCTTCAAAATAATATTTTAAAAAAATTAAAAAAAAAATTTT